CCATCCTGGTTTATTGTCAGTACCAGAATGATACAAAATAAAGTCTCTTGAAATTTGTTTAAGATGGGGTTAGCAAATGTTTTCATGTCACTATGGATCATTTTAAACAGGTTCATTGATTTCTATGAAGTTTGACGCTTGTGAATGTAACTGATCTAGCAGAAATCATATTATGTCTATGTAAGATTTGAGGTTTTCACGGCGGTGACTATGAAGAAAGCAGTCTTCTGGGATTTGGCACCATGTATATGTGGTGTTAACTGACGTTCCTCCGAAATGTCGGTTAACACCACATATACACGGTGCCAAATCCCAGAAGGCTGCTTTCTTCATATTATGTCTAGTCTTATAAGGGTACCATCATCTGGGATGCAACACTCTAGTCTAGCAGGAATCTACCAATGTTTCAGAGTAATGTATTGCCTCCACTTCAAGGGTCAAAGAGTGAGCCAGACAAGTGACCAACAGAGCTCTGCTTGCCACCTTCTTGCTGACTTCTTGTGTTTCTCAATGATAAACCCCAAAGATGGGGGCAGTTCATTGCTCTGAAATGCTGGTGGAATTCTAACAGACTATATGGCATTACATTTGGGAAGTACTCTTCACAGTCACTGCTATGAGAGCCTCAAATCCAAGAAATATGAAGTCTTGTTTAAATTATGAGGCTATAACTTAGACTATTGTAACTGCTGTATTGGATTTTATTTTTCCTTGCTAAATACCAATTATGAATGTGGATGTATTTATCAGTACAATATAAGGTTGTATTTACCATTTGTGGAAAATGTGCAATACTGCATAAACATACTAGGTTGATGAACATTGTGGCTTTTAAATAAGGTGGAGGGCATATGTTGCATCAACAAATTATGTAGATAATTTCAATGTGTAGGTGTTTCGAATATGTGCCTCAAACAGATTCTAGTCATCTGTTGAATCCAGGTAACTCATCAGCAGCACCAATATTGCAGATTTCATATTTGTGTATCAATAAAATCTGTTCTTTTCATTTAATTACAGAATATGAGTTTTGCAGTTGTATCTGAATACTGAAAGAAAGGAGCCTTCTGTTTGTATATATGCTATATATTTGAAAACTAAGATGTGTATATATATTATAGGATGGACATTCAGTACTGAATATTACCAAACCAAAGCGAAGATTCAGTCATATAAACATTTCAACACTTGATCTTTTTGCAGAAATGGTTTGCTTTACATATGAGTATATTTTGTGCAGTTCACAGCAGTTCTGACTTAGTATATGAGTTCATAAATATTTACTATGGCAGAAGGTAACATCTAATTTCAAATTTGATCTGTATAAAGTGAACTGTTAGGTTTGAAATAACAGATAACTGGTATAATGTACTTTATTCTTAATATCAAAGGAAATAATGTCTTTATGTACATCTGATATTTCTGTTGCTGAAACAGATGGTCCATTGCAGGATTGTGTGCCTAGGATGCACTTTTTATTGCTTCAACCATGTAGTGAATTCTCTGTATTTGGAAGAATTAGGGCAAACTGATTTCACTTAGGTTGTTGTGCTTCTGACTTCTATTTTGGAAGTTCCTGGTTTGAATCTTGGCTGCGCTGCCAACTATTCCAACAGAGAATAGTCCTTCAACGTAAATTCCAAGATAGTACCATAAATTAGGCCATGATTACTCCCTTCCACAACCTTTCAGCCTGATAACTGAATGCTGTGTAGTCTTAGTGACAGCATTTTAAGTCAACCACCACTAATTAAAGAGAAGAATAGGGCAACCTTTCAATCCTCATATCAGATTCTCTTAGAAAACCCTGTTTTGCTACATAAAAGACTGTTTATTATATTAATCCATAAGCTTCATTTCTAAGACAGATAATTTTAAATAGACTGGGTTTGTATGAAGTCAAGTTTCTGCTGAAGCTATCAGTTCTGCATGTTGTTAGTACCGTTTAATTTATATGTTGCCATATAAGGTGCATATGTTTGTTTCCTTTGAAATTTGGCTAGTCATGTCTCAGTTTTGAGATGTCAGATTAAGATAAAATAAACTAAAAATTAAGTTTTGACATAGAGTTAAAAATTGTTAGTTCCCTGTCTTCTTTCATAAAACACTAAGACTGAAGTATATAAAATGATATAATTTTGTGTATAGTTTTCTTTTGTAACTTTCACTAAGTCTCTTGACCAACAAAACTGAACGACTTAGATTATGGAAAAACAAAATTGGCCATTAAAACATATCATGATGTTTGAACCTAATCTGTAATATAGTATGTTGTTGTGAGTCCTTTGTGTTGAATAATTCAAAATTTCTTGCACAGTACAGTGCATGCAATTGTAAAGTAAACTGAGAACATATTATTTAGTGAAGGAAGAAAAGGAATGCTTGGGAATTTCTCATTTTCAGTGGCAGAAGATATGATTGAGAGATATGTCAATTTATATGGCATAGACCTAATTTGTCATATAATTAGATTTGTATCTAATTATGAAATAATGATAGGTGTCCAGTACATTTTTTGTTCAGGTATTTATTTTGGTAGAATTTAAGATTTTATTGCATTACACACTAGTTAAACACTATAGAGCAGAATACTTACTTCTTGAAAAGCTAATGATTGCTGAGCTAGTTGAGAACCTCAAGGTTCATTACCACGTTCATAAGAGTCTCTCACCGCACTTGTCCTGAGCAAGATGAATCCAGACCCTATTTGAGGATGTGGACTGGACTCATTGGAACCTGAATCATTTTGAAGGAAAAGTCAGATGCTTCCAGATTCTTTAACTACATAGAATTCACACATTTCCATCCAGTGAGCATAAGTGTAGGAACATGAACAACATGAATTTTGTTTCCCTTATGACAGTATCGAAAATAATATGGTAAATCAAAAGCTGAACCCAGTCTTGGTATTGAAACTAGAAGTGACCTGTTTAATTTTGTGTTGGTCCATGAACTTTCCATGCTGAACATGAAAGCCTACTTGGTTATATTCATGTGGGAATCCGGTTGTATATGTGTTTCATTTGTTAGTAATGCAAACGTTGAATTCAAGCAGTTGTGATTTTGGAATTAAGATTGATTTATAATAATTGTAATGTAGATTTCTGTATTTGTTCTTTAATTTGAGGCAAGAGTACTATGTGTGGGTACACTGGAATCAAAACATTGTAAAGGGATGTATCATATTTATTTGTTGAAAATAATATATGCATTGGACATGACTCAGCTTTTTAGTTACCTGTACTAAATCACTGTACCTTGAGCCAAAAATGTTTAGTAATTCATAAAGTTGTCACTGTGTGTACCTAACCAAGCATCACACTGTGAAGACATATGGGAGGAATGGCGGTATAACTCCTCTCTTATCCTTTGGCACTAGATGGAAGCAAATGATCAGCTTCATGGCCCTGGGGAGAAAGGCCCCAGTACACATTGGGTGGGCCCCAGATTTGGTCTGGATGTGGTGATGAGCAGAAAAAATTCTTCCTCCACCAGGAATGAAACTGAATATTCTTTCATCCACCATGTAGCCAAGACACCATACAGACTGAGCTACAGTGCAAATTTTAAATTTTAAGATAGATTTCAGATAAATTTACCATATTAATGAAAGCAAGGACAAATTGTAGATCTTGATATGACGCTGCTTCTGTCATTTCTTTTGAGCTTGTCACCATCTGTGATAAATTACTGTCATCATATATGAAGTCAGACATTTTCCAAGCGTAACTGTTTTAACAAATATAATCTTTTCTGCCTTACATATTTGGACTACTAGTGGCCATCTTCAAGAGGCAAACTGCTATTGCCAAGGATGCAGTTTACACACGTTATTAACGATATTATTGAAGGGACTAGTGACAGGTGTTGACATTAAAATTAAGTAGTTAAAACCAATTAAAATAAATTAAAATAGCCGTTTTGAGTTAAGAGGATGTCCTGATGTCATGTGTAATGGTATTCTACAGTTGACAGTGTAAAATGGTGTTCTTACAGGCTGTATATTCATCTTTATAGGAGTTGTGTGCTTTCCTGAGGAGTGTGTCACAGACAACACAGTGAAACTGTAAATAGGGTTTTTCATGGCATTTTGAGAGATACAGTTCTGTAATTAATTATGCTCTTTAAACAGTAATAAATTCCTAGCCTGGATTGGACATGAAAATGGGGTGGACAGTAGATCATATGGTATGCAAGGCAAGCAACAAGTCTAGGAATGGAAACACATCTAACAAGAAGGTAACCAGGCATACTGAGGAGGAAACTAACAAAGTACAGGTCACAATCCCAGCCAGAGTTCAGATACAAATGTGACTCTTTACGTCTTAACAACAGTGGCCATTTTTGCAAGATGTTGTGATAAATTTGTCAACCTATTTACCTGGGTGGGGGTGGGGGGCTTGTTATACAAGCCGTGGCTTTTATTATGGGATATTGCAGACTACACAGGGAAGAAACTTGACACGCCCAATCATTGCAGTAAGCAAAGTCAATTTGTCTATACATTATCATGGTATATTGCAAACAGACTACATAGGGAAGGAACCTGACTGACACAACTTATGTAGAAGGCAAAATGAGTTTGTGTTTACAGTTTCCTGTCTTCCGTTTTAGTTTTTTTTTACAGAGACAACGAAATTAATTAAACGGCTAAGGTCTCCCTTTTTACTTCCCCATCACTGCCTAACTTGCAACATCTCTAGCATCTCGAGATCTCGAGCTACCTATCGCGAGCGATCGCGAGGTCATAAACAACATACCAATCACAATGATATTCCTACTGACCGATTGTCATAAGCAATGCTATAAACAGTGGAAAGTGGATGTAGTATTTTATAATTTATTAAATCGTTCATAAGAAGCACTCTGAAACAGTGATACAATAAACTTATAGCAAAAATAAGAAATTCGTTATTGTTGCAATCTGCTAGGAGTTTGTTTCGTGTAATATGTTCAGGCATGTATACGTATTAGGAATGTTAAAATTTAATATTGGTACTCCTGCCAATTAATCTCTGTAGTTGAAGCTTGTGGAGTTCATAGAGGTTTACGTTAAGTAGGTTTCTACGTAGGTTGATTAAAAGCCAACAGTTTCTGTCATTTCATTTAATTCGAAGGTAGGGTGATGACGGAAAGTGAACCTCAAGCAAAGAAGAAAATGCCTAGTTCTCTTACGCAGTTGAAGAATTTTACCACTGTTGTGGCAGATACTGGAGATTTCGAAGGTTATTATTGCTATTATTATTTATTTCGTCCATAGCTGTAGAGAATTACAATTGGACATGTCAGATATCAACAACCTCACATCAAAAATAACATAACATTCACACAGTGATTCATCACTATAATACAGCAATACCTTTCAAAATACATTTTTAACGTAATTTAAAAATCATAAATACTCCAAAAAAAAAAACATAAGAACATTTTAAACATATAGACAGATTTATTAACAAGCAGTTTACGTCAACACTTAATAATAATAGTAAATACTACAAAAAAGGCATAGAAATATACAGACAGATTTATCAACAAGCAGTCCATGTCAAAAATTATTAAAAAATTCTTGAAGAGAATAGAAGACATTGCACAATAAATAATTCTTAAGCTTCTTAAAAACATTAAAATTTATTGCATTCTTTAATTCAGTTGGAAGGCCCTTAAATATTTTGGTTCCCATACTAATCACCCCTCTCTTGCTCCACTCAGTATTACAAAATTGTACATACAAATTGTGTTTGTGAATAGTGTTATAGCCATGAACATCAGAATACTGGGTGGTATAGATCTTATTTTTTGTTATAAAACATAGGATCTGAAAAATATATAAGGAAGTAAGAGTTAAAATCTTTAATTCATGAAACAAATTTCTACAGGAAACTCTATTTTTAACACCTTTTATCACCCTTACACATTTTTTCTGCAGTTTAAATAAAGTTTCAGAGTCCTTTTGCACCCCAACCCCCCAAAATAATACTGTATTTCAACACAGATTCAAATTTTGCAAGATACACACTTCTTAAAACAGTTTGGCTCACTGAGTCCCATAGGGATTTTATTAAGTAGGTAGTCTTGCTAAGTTTTTGACACTCATATTGGGTGTGGGTTGCCCAACTTAAATCTTCAGTAATGCAAATACCCAAAAATTCTACATCCACTGAACAAACCACCTCCTTATTATTTATATAAAAAGGGGGTCTGGTACTTGGAATAGATCTATTTCCTCAAAAGAATAATACCTTTGACTTATTCATGTTTATTATTAAACAATTTTCATAAAACCATTTTTCTAATTGATTCTTTACATTTTGATTTTTTTCATTTAGTGATAAAATATTTTTTCCAGTAATCAATGTATTTGTATCATCAGCAAATAGTACTACGTCTGCATTATGTATAACTTGGGGCAGATCATTTATAAATAATAGGAATAAAAGGGGTCCCAAAACAGAACCTTGAGGTACACCATATTTAATTGCTTTAAGGGATGAGGTAACTGTCTTCATTTTAGAAGTCTTTTGATCTATATAGTGAATTTCAACAAACTGTGATCTGTCTGTAAGATATGATCTCATCCATGCATGAGATATTCCTCTCAGTCCATACGGTTCCAACTTTGCGAGCAGCAAGTTATGATTATTAACATCAAAAGCCTTTGATAGATCCAATATACCAAAGGCCAGTTGTTTATTATCTAGTGTTTTCTGAATTTCTCCATTGAAAGTTTGAATTGCCGTAAACGTGGATTTATTTTTTCTAAAGCCATTTTGAGCATTTGATATCAAATTGAATCTATTTAAGAAATTTACAACCCTATTGTACATCAATGTTTCAAGAATTTTTGGAAAAAAAAACAGAAAAAATTGAGATTGGTCTGTAATTTGAAATATTTTGTTTCTGACCTTTCTTAAAAATAGGTCGATCTTTTGCAATCATCATTTGATTTGGAAAAATGCCAGAACTTAGTGACAGATTAAATATAAAAGTCAAAGGTTTTTTATGGTTTGGATACACTGTTTAATTATCATATCTGGGTGCTGAAATTTTCGTTTTTAATTTACTAGTAACCTGAAAAACTTCTTCAGTAACAGGAGCAAGAAATAATACATTTGGATTTTGTATCGCATCATTTGTAGTGACATGGTCAATTATACAATTTTTATTTAAATGTATTAGCTTGTCTACGCTATTTACAGAAAATCATTAAATTTTTGGGATACATCCTGTGGGTTTGTAGCTAACTTAGAGTCTGTTTCTAAAGAAATATTTTCTATTTCTGTAAAATTATTTCCTGACTCCTTTTTTATTATTTGCCATAGAGTTTTTGAATTTTTGACTGACCTTTTAATAATTCGGCCATTTTCTCTTTGACGGGCAACATAAATTACTTTCTTATAAATTCTCTGATATTTCTTTATTCACTTCAAAGCGTGAACTATAAGGGACATCTTTCTTTTTAACAAACGTAAAAGTTGCAGCCTCTGTCTAGACACCTTTATCCCTTGTGTGATCCAACTTGATTTTTTCCCTTTCTTATTAAAAACTCTTTTTAAAGGGAAGAAGTGCAAAAAATACTTATGAAACTTACTTAGGAAGACACAATAAGCACTATTTACATCAGATTGAAGATATTAAGGTAATTAACGCCACTTCTATGCCGTTAGGCAATTCATGTCATGCAAAATTACAGTCTCCCAGAAGAATGACCTGAGGCAGTGAGTATCTAACGGCATTAGAAAGACAGAATAATATATGTAAATGAAAAGTCATGAAAATCAAGATAGTTTAGATTTAAAATATAGTACAGGAGGGAATGGGGGATGCAAACAAGTGATAAGCATTTCACCTATACAGTACATTTGCTTTACCTTGTGGAAAGATTATATTCGTAATTCCACCACTCTGAATAAACATGTTTAAATTAGTTATATTCAAGTCCTTGAAGCCTGAAATTCATCTAAACATTATTTAAAAATTCAGTCTCAGCATACAGAAAACTTTATATGTCTAGCACGAAGACCAACAAGATAAAGCAATCAAGGGAGATTATGGCTGTTTATTCTGAGAATCATAGGAAACCCATAAATAAATTTTTGGGAAAATGAAGAGTTCTTTAGTGTTAAAGTAGGTTTTCCCATTAGTATGTCACATGTTAGAATTTATCGTAAGTTAATTTTCAGTATCATATATAAACCTTTGACCTTGATATTTCTGAAGTAGTATATTAGTGCTAAAATCTTCTCAGATGATTCCTGATGTTTTTTTAGGCATATATACATCCTGAAATGTTTTGTTGTAAATTGAATATAGGTAAAAGAGTAATTCTTTCTCTCTAAAGTCTATGTAGTTCTTGCTCATTATGTTGTTTTTCTGAGGATCATGTTTTGGTCTCCATGGGGTCTCGCTGCCAGTCTCGTTACAGCTTCTTCTAGAACATGGGCGTGCAAATGTTAGAGGGCTGAATTAGGGATTACTGGGCCAGAAAGAAGAGTTCAGTGCAGTGTTTTATAAGCAGAAGTGTATAATTCGCATAATGAATGCCATTAACTCATTAGTGCAACAAGTGATTCAGCTTGATATAGCTTACAAGGTTTTCTTAATTTTAATTTTATAAAATGTTAGTATGAATTGAAAATAATATTATAGAAGAAATTTCACGTATGAACTTTTGCATTGGTATATAGTGAAGAATTGAAATTCAGCAAGAACTCTAAGGTTCTCTTTATCTGAGGTCATTTTTAAAATTTTGTCATAGCCTAATATTGTAAATTGAGTGGTATGTACATCAGGGGAGAATCTCTTCTTTAAGGAAAATGTAATATTGAATTATACAAGATAGAGTATACAGGTCTTTGAACTTGGATGAATAAAACGGGGTGCTGAGGAGACTGTATGGACCTAAGAAGGAGGAAGTTACAGAAATCTGGAGAAAATTGCATAATGAGGAGCTCCATAATTTGTACTTTTGCCAGGCAATATTAGGATGATTAAATCAAGGAGGATTTATAGGTGGGGCATTTAATATGGATGGGAGAGAAGAGGAATTCACACAAAATTTTGGTAGGAAGACCTTAAGGAAAGAGGTCACTTGGAAGAACTCAAGGATGCCTTTAAAAATGAATCTAACAGAAACAGGATAGGAGGTTGTGCACTGGGTTTTATATAGTTCAGAATTTGGTCATGTGGTTTACTCTTGTGAGTAATGTTCCATAAGTATTGGAATTATCTTATCTAGCTGAACTATCAGTTCTTCAAGAAGGACTCTATTCCATGGAACTAGTTAATTATCACTGAAGGATATGAGCAGCAGCAGTATCATATTTTAGAGAGGCAGGAATGTTTATAAAACGAATCTTGAGGTAATAACATTGAAAATGGTTCTCCAAAATACAATTTGCAAAAAGTTAATCATTTACTTCTGCAGTAGTCTAATATAAGCCCTGCTCTTGACCTTGCAAGACATATTGAATATTCTGAGCAAATCCTGTAACATGACTTCACATACTTTTAAATCAGATTTAGGCTTGTTCAGGTGCATGGCTTGCTTAATAACAGCAGAAATATATTGTGTCTGTAAAGCTGACAGCTTGTCGCTTGTACCTTTTACCTTATGTGCGGTTGGTAAAATGTAGTAATAATGAATTCTTATTTGCATAGCCATGAAGCAATACAAACCCACTGATGCCACCACAAACCCATCACTCATGCTATCAGCTGCCAACATGCCACAATATAAACATCTTATCACAAAAGCTGTGGAGTATGGCCGCAAAAGTGGAAAGTGAGTTGTGAGAATCATATTTATACCGGTATGGATTTGATTAATGTAGCATGGAACATCATATGTATGCCATGAATACATTTGTCAGCCTAACTTTACTAGTATTATTCTGGTTATGGAATGTGACTGAGGTATGAAGGGAGAACAGTTTTATTTATTCACATTGTTAACCCCATTTCATTATATGGGCCAAGTGGGCTGAAGTAATAGGAGGCTGAAGAAAACTGCATAATGAGGAGTTTAATAACTTGTGCTTTTTGCCAAATACAGTAAGAATAATCAAGTCAAGGAGGTTGAGATGGGCAGGGTGTGTGGCATGCATGGGGGTGAAGAGGAATGTATGTATGATTTAGGTGGGAAAGCCAGAGGGAAAGAGACCAATAGGAAGACACAAGTGTAGGTGAGGGGATTTATTTATTTATTTTATTATTCATCCATCCATTCAGGTACATAACCATTGGATATAGAAATTATCAGTATATTACATAATATTGTCTTAACATAAGTAAATAACAATTAATATATATATATATATATAAGAAATTAATGAATTTAAACTAAAATACAAAGCTATAATTACTGGGATACCCTAAGATCAAATTTATTATTCCCATCAAGATACTCTTCAGCAGTGTAAAAAGAGTTTTCAATATTAAAATGGATCTTAGATAAATAGGATGGTGTAAATGATATAAACTCCGTCTCAAGTGCAAACAATATATTCTGTGTCTTTGATCTTGCTCCCTACACTACATGTTTTGGCCTCAGACGGCCATCATCAGGTGTATAACACTCACGTCGCTGTCACACTGCACCCAGTTCAAAATTTAACATCTAAAACACTCTCCCTGTCATTATCAACTTCTACTTCGTTGATAGCTGTCCACCCGTAGATTATTTCACACACGTTAATTTTGAGTTTATTGTAATAGCACCATAATAAAATCTTTAGTTCTAATTTTAAAACTTTAAATTCTTGTCCAAATTTTAAAATTTTAAAATTGTTAGGGTTATTCGCCCTGTGTTTGAAGTGCTGCAGCGGCTAGTTCTTGTTTCCACACTGTATAGGTGTTATCCTGTGTAGTCTTTCTGTGTGCGTGCCGCTGCTATTCTTTACTATGTGTGCTATGGTGTGCTTTACTATGGTGTGGCATGGACTGGATCTATCTGTCTCAGGACAGGGACAAGTGGCAGGTTTTAGTGAACACAGGAATGAGCCTTTGGGTTTCATAAAATACTGGGAAATTATGAGCTGCTGTTGTCTTCTCAGGAAGGACTCGGCTCCATGGAGTTAGTTAATAACCCCCGTTTAGGGTTTCTTTGGGGAGCAATGAATTTGAACATTAAATTGTGTAAAACCTTACATAGGACAAGTGTAATAGCAAGATTATTGATTTAGGATCACTAAAATTGAATATTAAGGGGGGTTGCATATTACTTATTTATTGTTTATTTAACAATGCTGTAAGTAGCTGATACTTTATAGCATCAAATGGAAGAATGATTACTTGGATTTCTTGATAAATTGGAAAATATATTGAGGACCCAACCAAGATGAAGCCATGCACCTCCCAAATATACAAGTGGAGCAGGGAGGAGGACATGATTGGTGTAGTAACTTGCAGTCTGTCCATAATGGTGACATTGTAGAAGCTCTTAGTAACAGTGTGGTATGGATTATGTTATTTTAGTATAAAATTAATTGGCCTTGACCTCATGTTGTATTACTGTAGTGAACTTTATTGGTCACTTATCTGCTTGATAACCTCTGACGTATATTGATTTGATAAGTAACATTGAGAAGAAGCATGACCAGTGTAGTTTTTTCTTGGGGTGGGGTGACGCTGAGTCCACTTAGTACATCGGCCACTAGTTTGCCTATTGTACCAGCTCCAGATGATAGATGATGGTGATTTTGGAGCAGTTGATGGAATGAAGATTGACAGGGGAAAATGAAGTACTCTAAGAAGAGTCCACCACAAATCCCACATGACCTGACCTGGGCTTGAACCCAGGCTGCTGCGGTGGGAAGCCAGTGATTAACTGCCTAAGCTATGCCACAACCCATGACCAGTGTATGAACTGATTATATTTATAGTCCTGCATTTTAAAATAATATAACTTGACATCATGATTACATACTGTACCATCTGCATTTCACTTACCTCAAAAAATTGAAATTACTCATAAAATTTGACATTTGAAACTTTCATTAAAAGTTGCTGGGCAGTTCCTGTTTTAAGCCATATTGATTCATAAGAAATCCTATTTTACATGAGGTCATTAAGGCCGTGCCATAGCTCAAGCGGTTAGTCGCTGGCTTCCCACTGCGGCGGCCCGGTTTTGGTTCTGGGTCTAGTCAAGTGGGATTTGTGGTGGACAAGGTGGCACTGGGGCAGGTTTTCTCCAAGTACTTCGGTTTCCCCTGACAATCTTCATTCCACCAAATTCTCCATCATCATAATCACACGGTGCACACTACAATAGGCCAATTAGTGGCCACCGTGCCAACTGGACCCAGTTGGACTCCACCCCCCACTAAGCGAATTTAAAAAAAATTAAGGTCATAAACATTCTTTCTTGAAACCATTGTTCAAATTTTGATTTTTGCAAAACATCTGCAGTCACTTTGATTTTTAGGCATATTGATTAGTTACACAGCCTCCTTTTAATAAGGCCCATAAATAGACCTTTCCATATATTCTATAAGCTGTTTCAAAGATTATATTGTAATTCAGTGTTGTGTAGTATTATGCTGTTGAAATATGAATTTTATTTGTTTTATATAATAAATTTTGTGTTTTACTGAAATGCTGTATATAAACTTGCTTAATAAACTGTAAATATCATTGGGTATTTTGTGTGCTACATTTTGGAATATGATCTTTGCAGTCTTGATGTAGTGATTTAAATTTAGTTATAAATGCAATAGAAAATTCAAGGTCCAGCTAAAGGTCACTTCACATTTAGAACTTTTTAGGTGACAGGCACTGTAAAGTTGTCTGTGCTTCATTAAGCACCACAATGCAGTAGCGTGTGGGGAAGTAATGTTAATAACTTTATCCAAACAATTCAAATGCATTGAACTTATGTAAGATTTGAGGCTTTCACGGCGGTGACTATGAAGAAAGCNGCATTGACCATACATTTGACTCTTATTCTAGCACACCAGCTGAACAGCTAGAGGCTGCATCAGACAAGCTGTTTGTCCTCTTTGGAACCGAGATTCTGAAAATTGTTCCTGGACGAGTCTCTACAGAAGTGGATGCTAGGTGAGATTTTTGTACATTCATCAAAACTTGCAGTAACTGAACATGTCACTGTGTTCTGAATCAAGTTAAGGATGGAGATTACAAATTTATTTACTGGCAGATTTAAAGATAAGGCTACAGTCTTCTTGGATGTGTTGCTGTGTGGTTTCTTATACAGGTATTGTTTTGGATGTACCTGCTGCTTCCATCCACTCTTCTGTCTTGAAAATGGGGGTAGCAGGTTCCTCCGAAAAATTGGTGCCTGTCTGCTGAACTACACTGTTCCGAATCCTAGAAGACTCATTGCCTTGAGAGTCTCTAGTCTCTGATTTGAAGATGTTTTAATTTCTCTTTGAAGGCTGTCATTTGACAAAGAAGGCAGTATACAAAAGGCTAGGCGTTTGATTCAGCTGTACGAGGAGCAAGGTATCAAGAAAGACCGAATCCTCATTAAACTTGCGTCCACATGGGAAGGGATACAAGCTGCAAAGTAAGAGAATTTAATCTGTAATCTTAGGTTTAGCCAACATGTATGTGTAATACAACAGTTTGCCATTATTACATTTTGATTTTGTAACAGAGAACTGGAAGAAACTTATGGAATCCACTGCAACTTGACATTATTATTTGCCTTCTGCCAAGCTGTGGCCTGCGCTGAAGCAGGAGTTACACTCATTTCGCCATTTGTGGGTCGAATTCTTGATTGGTATGTAGCAAATACAGGTCAGAAGACATTTGAACCTTATGAAGACCCAGGAGTTGTATCTGTTACAAAGATATACAACTACTACAAGAAGTTTGGATATAAGACGGTTGTCATGGGAGCGTCCTTCAGAAATGTTGGTGAGTTAAACAGTTGAACCATGGAAGTTTAGGTAAAACATGTTGAGTGCCAGCTCAGTTACTTGGATTTTTATCCCTCCATGGTTACAACACAGTTATATGCTGATGCATTTTTAAAAATGTCCAGGTTCTTTCCTGATGAACATATTGGACCTTGATAAATACTGTATCATTCTGCCATCTGATAGCTTGAAAATGATATCCAGTAAAACTTCCATTTAAGGTTTCTTTAGGGAGAAGTGGATCTGAGCACTGAACTGAGGAAAGTATTAAATTGAGAGAATTTAACATTTAGGTTATTGAATTTGGGTTTGACTATATTAGTTCTTGTCTTGCATCAAGAGGTTGCTGAATAAGACAGAAAATGTGTTATGTGTAGGTAAGGAGACTTGGTCCACAACCATCCCTATAGTATTACATTTTTTAATTAATTTCATGAAGACAAACCACAATTTCAGGTATTTTTCTTAAAATTTTTAAGGGATATCCAGTGTCTTTTGTGGGTAAGTATATTGTTTAATTTTTGTAATGAATTGCTTCATTCTATTGAGTTGTTTCAGCATGATTATGAAATTCTTATTTGCAATGCTTGCAGTTGCATAATCAGGTTCTCCTTTAATGACTTTGATGAAGGCAAATACGACACTCATCACTTTTACTTAAGTAATTTGCAAGAAGTACGGTTCCTCTTTTTCACCTGTGATTGTTCAAGGTTGAAACACAATGTGTGATAATCACTACCAAGTGTGAGGCCTTGGACACTGCTATGTGAGTCAGTCCATAGTTCAAGTAGATTACTGTGTGAAATTACAGTCAAAATAATGAATTGGGTGCTCTTTGTAGTCACTGTTGGGAGAACCTCCAATCCAACAACTTCTGTATGGCTCTTGAAAAATCTATAATCCATTAGTATATGGGCCTGAGGTCACATGGAAAAGCTTCTCATGTGCTCTGTACAAAATGTTACACTTTCTGAGCCATGTTGTGACTTGTGATAAAGTCACAAATTCCATGACTTAACACTTACATCTGCATGCAATAAGCATAATTGTAGCTGCAAAGTGTTAATGCTTCATGAAAATAGTGTTAGTTTAATGAAAAATCTTACTTGATGTACCTATTTTGTTAGTAATTCTGAAAGTTGCACAAATTTCATATTAAATTCTTTGACATTGCATCCTGTATAGCTGATGTTTTCATTTTAGGTGAGATAAAAGCATTGGCAGGATGTGACTTACTGACTATCAGCCCCAAGCTGCTTGAAGAGCTTGATTCAAGCAATGAGGAATTATATCAGTTTCTTACAGAGAAGTCTGGTATGTTTAATGTTTCTTTCTGTATGATGATGATTGAATTTTAAATTAAAAATATATAGAATTTTATGTTGAGGTTTCTTTAAATTTGAAGCAGAACCTCATTCTGTATCATTCTCAGAACTCTGGAGATAGAAATTGGGTGACGCTTGTCTCATGGGTCTTATTTGTATTGTATCATATTAGCATTTAACCTTCAATGTATGGACTTTTAAAATGCTGGCAGCCCTCTGCACCTGGTATTTAAATCACCCTAATTAATTAACACTGCAAACTTCAGAAAAAAACACATATTTTCTGTTCTATGCAGAAATACAAACTAAAAACAATCTGAAAGACAATAAAATTTTCTACATATACACAAAAGAGCAATTTTTACAAACGAAAATTAACTGTGATCATTTTGTCATGAAATGCAAAATATAATCTTTATTTTATATGTTATGAAATTCCAAAGGACTTACCCATTGTTTTTTCTTCAACCTTGAATCATGGTGATATTGTAAATATAATCACACTATATACAATAATATTTTGTTCGGACTGTACACAAGTTCAAACTGCATCACTTCACAGTTTACGATACACATCACCCTTTTTACAATAGAAGAGCGTGTTCCTGCTTTTCTTATTTAGCGAAACACACGATGTCTTATGTTTACCTTTGGTAGGCTAGTGTTGTGAATGTTTCACCTCCAGTCGACTCAATTGGGCCCCAGGTAACCTTGGCCTCCCCCAAGAAACGCCACTGACCATGATATTCACCATTGAGACTGGGTGATATTGTAAATATAATCACACTATATACAGTGATATTTTGTTCAGACTGTAGAAGAGTTTTAACTGCGTCACTTCACAGTTTACGATACTCACATTGATGCACGTAGCACTTCTCGAAGCAGTGCACCTCACACAGAGCAACATTACACTTTTTGCAATAGAAGAGCGTGCTCCTGCTTTTCTTATTTAGTGAAACACACGACGTCTTTGTTTCCCTTTGGTTGGCCAGTGTTGTGAATGTTTCACCTCCAGTCGGCTCAGTTGGGCCCCAGGTAACCTTGGCCTCCCCCCAAGAAACGCCACTGACCTTGATATTCGCCTTGTGCGATTGAAGAATCATCTTGGGGGAGGAGGGTTCTAGCAAAATCGAATAAATTATGTTGATTGACAAAGCGACACACTCACCTATTAGTAATACTCGCAAAATAGTGATGCAAAGTAATTATAATACTAGTCGAAAAGGGTGCCAGTCTGACACTGATACCGAAAGTCACAGTGACGAAGATGCCTTTTACCCACAAAGTAATACTGGCTCAGTGGGTTTATACCTCTTCCAAGACGCAAAATAAAAATGATATATAATGAAATATATGACAGTCTGACACTGACATTCTGACTGATAAAGAAATATTAGACAATCCGAGACTGACTTCCTGACTGATAATTGGCCACTGAAAACCAATCCTTGAATGCGTCAGACTTCCTTGAAGGCTCTGGAAGCACTCATATGCAAGCACCGATATATTTCCTCATCAGTTCTCGAAACAAAGGTGGGTTATATTTGGCTGACCAGGTCATAAACAGTCATATCTAAACGTAAATAGTACCGAAACCAGTACCATGATAAACGATTTCTTTGTTCAGAGCTAAGGAATGAACCACTGACATGACTTCACGTAAGTTTGTTTTGGTTTCAAACCCAAGGTCAAACTGTCAGCACTCCCAAAGAGAGCATGTGTCCTGCCACATATGTATATAACATTTGGCCAATTCGGGGTGCTGCTTGCTGCATATATACAGGGTGTCCCAGGAGGATTGTGCCAGACTTTGGGAGGGTGTTCCTTATGTTAAAGTATGCCAATATAACCCAAAACACCTATGTCCAAAATTGAACGGTTACGGAGATAATGGCCAGAGAAGTGTGAAACTTTGACAGGTGTTACACACTTGTTGATTACCAAATACATATTAAAACTGGCAGGAATATGTGGTTTCTGTAATGTTAATAATGTACATAACATAAAACTAACTTGTGAGTGACATGAAGCCATTAAATTGAACTACAAAAAACTTGCACGCCATATCATAATTGTTCTTGAGGTTCCAAGCACTATACATGACACATCAATGGCAAGCACTGATGTAACATGGCTGACTGCACATTCTGGTATAAGCCGTCATCACCACACTCAAGGACAAACATCGATAAGACTTGTCAGCTGACAAGTACAGTGTGTGGACCTGCCAGAAGACCACACTTTTCTCGGGCCATTGTCTCTGTAACTGTTCAACTTTGGACAAAGGTGTTTTGGGTTATATCGACATACTTTAACATAAGGAACACCCTCCTGAAGTCTGGCACATTCCTCCTGGGACATTCTGTATATAACATTCGGCTGTTAAAGGTTAACATAACCTGCAGTAACGTGCCATGTGTGAAGTTGAAAATACCGTTTAATTGGAGATAGTTGAGTTTTAAATATAGTAATGAGTAAAATACTCAGGGGAAACAAAGTATGCAGAAGTTTTTATAGGAAATGACACATAAAGAACACTGTTAAAATAGATGTTATGGAAACTGCTCATAATTCTGTAATTAGGTTCAAAGATGGACTTGATTTTTGTGTGTTGTAAGTGAGAATTGTGTAATAAACTTTAGGTAAGTATCCCAACCCCTCGTTGGTGTCTCCACCTTATCGTGGTGAGGGTGTTTGAGTATGCCAAGGACCCTGAGAGCTATACCAGCGGTAGCGTAGCTACTGGCAGGGCCTCCCTTGCTGGACAGGTCAAAGGGTAGGCATCAGACGAAGAGAGACACCGAAAACTGATGCCGGAAGCAGCGTCATCAGCGGCGACTTGAAGCACAGAGAAAATGATGCTCGAGATGTTCAAGTTCGTATAGCAACAGGCGTGACCAGAGTGGTTTGAACGGCTGTTGTACTGCGATGTGGAAAGCAAATGGAAAAACTACCACATTATCACTTTTCCTGGATAGTCTCTTTCCAAAAACAGAAGATCGCATTAAGTGGAGAAACTGTTTTGGAAGAGGCTGTGGACCTGTCATCTGACAGATTACTGATGAATGAAATGAAGTATCCCAAAAGCCAGGGGCATGTGGTAGCATAGTTGGTTGAGGCACAGTGGTACAAGCTGGAAGGTCATGGGTTCAAGTCCCGATGAGGTCATTGGATTTCTTTCTGTTGACCTAATCTTTCCAGCCACACTATGGCCCTGGGTTCGACCCAGCCTCTAACAGAATTGAGTACCATGAATATTCTTGGGGGTAAAGGGTGGTTGGCGCGTAGGGCTGATAACCTTGGCCCCATCTGTGAGCTGATTGTCTAGAAAATGTGGGAACCTCAGCATCTCTTGGCCCTTCGGGCCTCCATGGCCCGTTGCAGAGATACCTTTACTTACTTTTACTTTTCATCCCAAAAGCCAGTATGCATAGGAGTTTTAACAGATGTGGTGATCATCTTCCTTGCAACTTACTTATATAACAGCCAGTTACTTGCTGGAGCACATATTGACCACGAATAAAGAGACAGTACAGGTATATTCCTCTGAAGTGTCTGTATCCACTTGGAAAACTACTCACTGCCAAACCCAGATCACCATGTGAAAATTGAATTTGTCCATGCATCACAATTCTGCAGTGAGTTCACATCTGTAAGACATTAATTTTCTTTGCAGCTCGTAAGACTGATGTTGAAAGGATCACCATGGATGAGAAGACATTCCGCTGGCTGCTGAATGAGGATCAGATGGCTTCTGACAAGCTATCTGAGGGTATTCGTAAATTTGCTGAGGATTCTCGCAAGTTGGAAAAACTTCTCAGAGAGCATTTGGGCAAGGCTAAATGAAATTATCAGTGAACTGTCAAACTGAAACATATTTGATGCCAATTGTTATGGGGGAGGAGGGGAACAGTACAGTACTTGCATAGGTTAGCAACTGCTATCTTGGTGAAAGGGTAAATGAAAATCAGACTGATAAATCTGGTGACAGTTGAGGAAATAGGGACATCTTACTTCTGTTTTAAACATTTTTGCTCTACTTTGTCATGTGTCATTGAACATTTTTCTGAAATATATTTTCAGTCTTACAATTCCATAATTGTTTCTGTTCGATGTGTTATACTTTCTCATTTAAAATGTTGACTTCCAGAATTAAAATGCATAATACAAATCAAATATGATACATTATTTCAGACATTGCTAATTTTCAGTTATATCCTAGTATGTTCACTGTAGTGATTTGTTTTTAGTCTTAGATCTTGACATCTTAGATAATGATGTTTCATATAGCTTCTCCATAGATGTGTTCTATAAATTTGGAATGTCTGGCACACATATTGAGACCTTCATTTAAGGCATTAAGACATTTTCTGATTATTATTTGTCATGAAGCTATAATGTCATGTAGTTGTGACATATGATAGCCCAGTTTGTAGTTTGGCACATTTATGGAAAGGGGAGACATTTCATAAAAGTCATGTTTATAAGCCTGAGATCAACTGAAATCTTGTGCTAAATATTCTGAAACACAGAACTCATAATGCTTGTAATTCGGACTAATGTGTTAGAGGTCAAGTTGTGATCATTGTAGGAAGGCAATTACAATGAGAAAATGCATGCTTGGAGTGAACGTAAAAAGTTACATTCCTACTATTTCATTTCATTTATTTCAAATTCAAAATAGATCCAGATACAGGCTGGGAAACAACCATTGGATATAGAATGAGTCACAGATAAAAAAACAAAACAAACATTCCATTCCCACAGGAAAAAGTCAAGGTATTCATAATATAAAACAATAAAAAAGAAGATAAACCATATATACAACAAAACTCCCCCAGTTTACAAGAACAACGCAAAACCAAGACATGCATCCTGTCTGGTCTGCCTAGGTAGAAGTCAAATGGACTTGAGATACTAAGTAACTCCATGGATCTGAGTCCTTGAGGAGCTACTGGTCATTCAGCTGCTCAAGAATTTTCTAACATTTTATGAACCCAGAGGTACATTATTGTGTTCACAGGAGCTCTCCACTGGCTCTTATCCTGAGCCAGATGAATTGAGCCCATACTACCCCATCCTATTTCTGTAAGATTTATTTTAATATTATTGCCCCATCTACATCTGTGTCTTTGTAATTGTTTCTTTCCTTCTGGTATTCTCACCCAAATCCTATATGCATTCCTGTTTTTTCCCAAGCTTGCCATATTCCCTGCCCATCTTATTCTCCTTGACTTGATCATTCTAATTATATATATGGTGAAGAGTACAAGTTATGAAGCTCCTCATTATGCACCATTGAACCCTCTTTGGTCCAAATAGTCTACTCAGCACTTGTTCTCAAATACCTTGAGATGCATAGCACCCGTAACAAAATCAGAAACTTTAATTGTTGTCACTGTTGTAACATTTGTCCAATGAATAAAACAAATTTAAAAATAGGAATCTTTTAACAGTAGACCTAAATTTTTTAATCTCATGAGCTTGGTCTTTTATATTAGGTGGAAGTTTATTAAAAATTTTAATTCCAAAATAATATGTTCCCTTTTGAAAGACAGTTAAGTTACACGAAGGATAATGGAAGTTATTACTATGTCTTGTGTTGATTGTATGAATCTCAGAATTAGATAAAAATAGATCTTTGTTTTTGACCACATTCATTCATTCATTCTTTATTTTTCCATATATATCCATACAGGTTAACAAACCAGGATGTGAAAATAGTCCTTTTGAATACAGATACATCAACATGCATATACAAAATTGCACGAGTCAATAAAACAAAGACACTTACATCGATCTATAAATATAGATAATATTATAGGGCAAAATAATTTAATAAGATTTCATTTAATAGACATACTTAAAAAATAACCTACTATAAAACTTGTATTTACACTATTTCATATAAAATACCCATATTAACTAAAATACAGTAAAAAATTACACACCTATGACACATTATGTTTATAATATCAGCATCATATTTAACTCCATAAATCCATACGGTATATACTTTAACACATTTAAAACTGTTAAAATTCTAATTTCTGTATTCAAATTTATTATTTATTCATTCATTTATTTCATTTCTGTTACTCCAGGCTAGTAAAACCGTAGGATAACAAATAACAAAATGGAAAACAATGTACTGTGAGTAAAGGGGCAGAATCTTTAGTCTCTTAAACAGCTCCCTACAAGAATCTCTACTTCTAGAATTGGTGATGACTCTTATTACCCTCTTCTGTAGTCTAAAGATATGGATGCAGAGGGGCGAATTACCCCAGAAAATCAGGCCATATGTCATAATAGAATGAAAGTATGAAAAATATACCAATCTAATTGACTCTAATGACATATATAGTTTAATAGCCCTAACTGCATAGAAAGCTGAACCCAGTTTGGACATGAGCCAGTCAATGTGTCCTTTCCATGATAGGGTATTATCAATCATCAGACCAAGGAACTTAATATCAGGGGTTGTAGCAATTTGACTGTTACTATAAATGATAGATATGTCCATTGCATTACTATTCTTAGTCGAGAAATGCATAAAATGTGTTTTATCGAGATTCAATGTCAGTAAGTTAGCCTTGAACCATTCATTTATATTTTTGAATATTAAATTAAATTAAATTAAATATTTTCATATTCAACATGATTAGAGTTCTTAACAGTAATACTGGTATCATCTGCGAAGAGAATAGGTTTTGATTTACTCTTTATAATATCAGGCAGATGATTAATGTATAACAAACACAGTAAGGTACCTAAAATCGATCCCTGGGGAACACCATTGACAATCTAACCCCAATTTGAGTGAGTGCACCTCTTATTAGTTACAACTCTTTGATGTCTACCATGAAGGTAGGATTCCAGCAATGCATTAGCTTTTCCTACTATTCGATATAACTTCAATTTAGATAATAGGACATCATGATTAACACAATCAAAGGCTTTATTTAGGTCACAAAAAATGCCTCCAACTGGTGTTTTATTGTTCAAAGCCTTTAATATTTCATTAATTATATAAAACAAGTTCTGTGGATGAATCACACCTGAAACCATATTGGTGATTGGATAATATATCTTTATGTGATGGAGCAATCTTACAAATATAACCTTTTCAAGAACTTTGGAAAAGGATGTAAGTAATGATATAGGTCTATAAATCATCATATTCATTTTATGACCATTTTGAATAATGGTATTATTTCAGAGTATTTCAAATGAGTGGGGAAAACACCCATTGAAAGTACTCTGTTATAGATATAAGTTAAAGGAGAACTAATAGCAGGTGTGCTAGTTTTTAGAATATTAACCAAAATTTCATCATACCTGTTAGAATTTTTGTGTTTTAATGACTGAATTATGTTTTTAATTTCTTTAGTAGATGTAGGTTTAAGTTTAATTTCAGGGAAAGAAGTCAGAAAAGCCAGGGATAAATAACTCCAATGTTTATCAGTATCACACTCCATAAAATGATCACCCTACCCTAAATGTGTTTTCGTGGGCTAACATGGTTAATATGAATGCTGCAGCACCATTGTGGTGTGGACTGGATTCGTTTAACTCGAGATAGGATTCAGTGACAGGCTATTATGATTATGGAAATATACTTCCATGTTCTGTAAAAAGCAGTTAATTTCATGACCACCTGAGAAATATTAGCTTCTGAAGGACCCTGCCCCATGGAGTTGGTCAATTGGAAATTTACAAATGGTAACATACATATATGCCGGTCACGGTAGCAGAGCGGTCTAAGGCATGCACTGTCTTCGCTTGCTCGGAAGCCGGGATCGTGGGTTCGAATCCCACTAAGGGCATCGATGTTTGTGTGCGTTTTTCTGTGTTTGTCTACAGGTAGAGGCCTTGCGATGAGCTGATCACTCGCCCAAGGAGTCCTACCATATGTGTAAGATCCAGAAAAACCGAAGTGAACGAGTTCATGGAGGTAGGCCTAGGCCCACTGGAGCTGTAGTGCCAAGGAAAAAAAAATAGCTAAAAGAGAGACAAACTTCAGAGAAACGATTTTTATTAATCAGAGATTGGATGTGACTGCGCATTTTAGCAACTGGTGACTCCTACCCAAGTTTAACATATCATNCATTTTGTAATATGCCTGTGGGTATACTATAGAGGAGGCATGTCCAACACATCGATTGCGGGATGATTTTTGGTCGATCTCATAGGCCTATAAAGATATTATATGTGAAAAGCATGTAAATTCACTTGTAATATAATGTGATTATATTATATTCATATTTTGAAGGGAGAATGCATATTAGTCATTCCTATTTTTCTGTACTTTCAGTGTATGTTGCTTTTACAACAAACATCACGTGTCGTGTTATTTTTACCAATATTTTTGCTTAAAGCAAGGTACAACGATAGGAGGGGGTGGTAGATTACTGGCAGTTTTGACACTAAAAAGTCGATCACAACCTGTTTGAAGTTGGACATGCATGCTATAGAGGAATATTATGTACAGTTTCTTTTGTAAGATGTTAATTTATTTAAAATTAATTATATAAATTGTGTACAGTATGCTTATGCAGATAATGATATTTTAATATGGGATTTCCTTTTCTATTCAGTGCATTATACGTTAATGATGATGAAAAATATAATTATTCTTTAAAGAACAAATTTTTTGTATATTACAGTATTCACAAAAATTCTATATTGATGCTTGTAGGGTGTATATTCTTACAGTAGTCCTGGAACCAGGTTATGTCATACCTTGTAGATGAGAAGTTCCATGCTTCGCATAGTAGGGGGTGGAGTCCAGTTGGGTCCACTCGGCATGGTGGCCACTGATTGGCCTTATTGTACCTGCCCCAGGTGATTATGATGATGGAGAATTTGGTGGAATGAAGATTGGCAGGGGAAACCAAAGTACTAGGAGAAAACCTACCCCAGCGCCACTTTATCCACCACAAATCCCACTTGACCAGACGTGGGTTTGAACTCGGGCCACAACGGTAGGAAGCCAGCGACTAATCGCTTGAGCTATGGCATGGCCTAAGTTCCATGCTTTGAATGAGGTATCATTTTCACGCTTCTGGGGACCACAGTATGGATGAACTGTAGTCATAATGGGGTTAATTGTGAAACATTTTAACAATTTTATTTAATTCTGTGTATGCAGGCAGTATGTGTATAGAAGGCTGCATTCACATTAAAGTGAAATGAATATATAACATTCTCTGAAGTACAGAACTGAATTACAGTGTGTGTGTTCTGTTTAGTGTAATATCAATATATTTATGATGTGCAAGAGATGCGACGAGTCCCCCACATGACATTTCCATGTTAGATATGAAAGTATGAATTTTATGGTGGTATGTTGAAGTGTTTATGGTCTTGATGCAGCAATCTTATGTAGTGGATGCAGAAGCAGGGAAGTTTTTAATATGGCACTTAGGACAGTAATCTTGGGCCATTCTCAGAAGCAGGGTATGTCATAGCTTGTGGATGAAAAGTTCTATGCGTTGAGCAAGGTATATGTTATGGTTCTAGGGACCATTCTTCATAGGTTGTCAAGAGTTACTACAATCACCCATTAAATGTTTAACGTAATTATATCCTTAAATGTTGTTTTCCTGTTGTACAATGAGGAAACTCAAAGAAATAAAAATAACTTCCCTGTAGTATGTCAGTGCAGGAGTAAGAGCAGCAATCTTGCAAATCGTGCTCTGCTTGAATGGCAGGTGGATGCACATAACCTAACCTATCCTAACTTGTTGCAATCGAACCTGCTCGAGTTCTGCCTGTAGTTTGAGATACCAGTTTTGCCCCCTTTTTTGTACAGTAGTCTTACTACTGAACAGGAGGCAGGGTCGAATACCTCCACCGTGACCTTGCGAGTCGTAGGAGGCGACAAAAAGGGAAGTTTCAAATCTGAGGCAGTAAAATATGGTCTCAAGTCCCAAGGGACTCGAACCTGAGAACGACTGCGCTGGCAATGACCAGCAGCATATACAAAAGACAGACCTGACCTGTCGTCAGAGAGGGTGCCCCACAAATACCAGACCGTAACCTTCAAACAGTAATAAATATCTGGTCATGAGCCCCAGGTGGGCCACCACACCAAGGCTTAACTGACTGACTGACTGACCGACCGAACGTCAGTCGCAGTGTGACTTTGTGAGTTGGAAAGTTCTATATTCTAGTGAGAGCTGTTAACACGAAAGGGCCGACTGTGGAACGACTTGTTCAACGTTGTGTTAGTTACCTTATTGAGTAATAAAGTGACGTCGCAAGTATACGGCTCGATGTCGTACTTTTTCACGACAGCGGTTGCGTTGCGTTTGCTAGTTTTCTTGGTCTGCCCCTGTCCGTAGTTTTACTTCTGTAGGCCATTGCCCAGTTACACGTCTCAGTGGATTGCAGCAGAACGTTTTACGTAAGATATTTGCTAAGGTCCACCGGTAGTGGTGTGTGCAGTTCGAACCGGTAGGCATGTTATTAAACAAAAAGTGTACGAAATGTTGACAGAAAGTTTAATCTTCCAGTGACAGTTTGCGTCCTAACTTAATATATTATCACTCCAAGGCTATAATCATAGTTTAGATTGGAGAAATAATTATGTAGGGTAGAAATCTGGGCTTAAGAAAGAGAATACATTTGTTTCAAAATTTCAGTCTCAATTTGGACGGTCGCCATATTGGATGAAAAACGGCGTGGATGATGTTCAAAATAGGGAGGATTCCTACGCAGATTGTAGGATGTTTCCAAAATGCTGGAGTAATTCGCCGTCCTGATCTTCGAGGTAAGATTAGTGGAACAACTCCTAACCTTACTCTGACGAAGATATGGTAATATTTTTTTAACGCCTGGATTGTAGACAGATTAATGCCGGGTGTTATCATGGCACATAACCTAAAAGAACTGGTAATTGATGTCCTAAGTGTATTCATTAGACTATACGTATTAATTTTTTTATATGGGGTCCAAGAGAATCGATGTTTTTTTTTTGCTTACTTTAGATCAGTGGTTCTCAAACTTTTTACCTCAGAGACCCCCTTGAGAAGAGAAAATACTCTCAGGCCCCCAGGCTGTTTTTTTTAATCAAACTATAATTCATGGTATGTTTGACGTTTCATTCAGTTTATTTTGTGTTTTTCTACATACTATTTAGCAGTTTTCTTACTCAAAATTAAAGTATCACAATATTAGGCCGACAATAAAAATTAGTTTTAACACTTGCAATTAACAAAATATGTTTTAAAATGAAATGATATTTAACTAACAAGAATTTATTTTTTTTTTCTGCAAAGAAAATCAAACATTTAAATGTCAAAGTTCAGTGTGATGGATGGGCCTGCTTTTGAGAACAAAGTTTATCAAAACGTGGCGTAATATCAGAAATGGCCACTCTAACTTCTTTAGCAATATTTAGCCTTGAACGATACTTTGACTTTATAGCTGCCAAAGCAGAAAAGCCTGTCTCGCATAAGTAAGTTGTTGCGAAAGGAATCAGGATTTTCAGTGTTTCTTATCTCAAAGTTTGGAATTCTGTGCCAATATGTATCCAGAACTCCAACAAAGACAGTTCCTTAAATTTACTTTTTAATGAAGTATCACCAGTGAGATCGATGAGCTGTTCTTGCTCATTTACATTCAGAGAGGATGGCCCAGGAGCATTTTTGAATGAATTTTTAATCCAATTAAATTTATCAAAATCATTGCAGAAGTATTTTTCAAAATGAACTTTCACCATTATGAGATGATCAAGTAGGCAGCTTTTTATGTCCATTGGAAGCACTGGATTATCAGTGTCTTGTACCATTGACACCAGAGTAGGGAACATGTCTAGCGTGTCACTTTCCATACTGTTCCTCCAGAGCTCTAATTTTCTCATGCATGCCTTCACTCTGTCATTCCAAGAAAGTACAGTTGCCTCATTCCCTTGAAGTGAAGTGTTGAGGATATTTAGTTTCTCAAATATATCTGTGAGGTAAGCCATTTTCAATAAAAAATCCTTGTTGCTGAAACTGTCTCCCAGCGAGTGATTTTCACCATTAAAAAACAGAACACCTCATGCCTCAGCTTAAACACACTCTTTAATACCTTGCCTCTTGAAAGCCATCAAGCATTACTAAAAAACAACAGAGCAGTGTGTTCGGCACCCATTTCCTCACACAGCATTTTAAAAAGTCTAGACTCCAGAGGATTTCAGAGGATGCAGCTGCTGCCGAACTATCAACGCTGGCTCTGGCATATGCGTTTTATAATTGCCGGTAAAGAGAATTATTATTAGTGATTTTGTAATTCATGATAATTAAAGCCTGTACTCATCAAAATTTTTCTGTATGTATTTTTATTTTTCTTACTTTTCTAATTGAGTTAGGGCGGTTTTAATTTTTATCTGTAGGAAAGTATGCTGCGCCCCCCTTTCAAGCCCTTTAACCCCCCTGGGTCACGCCCCACAGTTTGAGAACCACTGCTTTAGATGTAGTATAGCAACTTTCATTTGCAATAGACGAGTTTATATTTTTTCTGTATTTGGTATTCTCTTCATACCCCATCTTGTCTTAATACTGTTCTGTAACCACAATTGAAGCAGATGGAGTACGGTTTTTGTTAAGCCACTTTAGTTTTGAAGTAAAGAAATACAATAACATCTAGAAGCTGTAACAGAGTACACTGCATGATTAAGTTAAGAATGATTATTGGGCCAACTTTCAGTCGTGATTACGTTCATTTGCTGATATCGTACTGATTACTGTTATCTTTCTGCCTAAAATGTTTGTGTTGTGTAATGTTTTTAGCAACTAGATTTTATTACATCAACAGGTAGGATGACTCACGATTGATGAATTGGGAAGGATTTGGAAAGAAAATGTCATTGCTTCATTGAGGTTCTGTGCTGGAATTTGCTCAGAATGACTGAGGCAAACAGTGAAAAATGTCATTCAGGATTGCCACTGCCCCAGCTGAGATTTCAGAATATCGTGTTTTGAATATAGGCATATAGACCAACTTATTTAGAATAAATAGTTCTGTTTTCCATTTGTTCTCATTTGAGGTGCTTAGGCTTTAATCCTTTCCCCACATAGAGAACCTGATATGCCCAATTTTTTAAGCTGTGAAGAATAAGTCTAGAAGGAGACCAGCAGAAACAGGCCACAAGTTAGCATGCCTCCTCTTCTGCTGGTTTTCTGCTTGGCTTATGCTTTGATCCCACAAAAAATGGAGGTGAAATGTTCCACCAAAATGTCTTATTTCTTCAGGCTACACAGCATTACAACCCAAAGACTTTCCTTCATACTCACCACTGTGAGAACCTCACATCCATGATGTAAGTTTTTATATTGTAGCACTGTGAAATCAGATTTTTTTTTAACATGCAAATCCCTGTAAGAGTAAATAGATATGGAAAAAGATTTTCTTAATCATTTAGCACCAAATTTTTCTAAATTTCTTATTTTTAAATGGTTTTTCTGTCATGTACTGGACTGTGTTGTATTGATTTGTATTCATTTTGCAGGTCGACAGCGGTACTTTGTCCAATTATGTGCTAGAAGATCAGATGTAAGGAAAGCTGGAGGAATAGAAATGGCTTCAGCACACTATACTAAACGCATGTACACTAAAAGGTTCAAAGAAACGAGTGATGGGTCATGTAAACCACCTGAAAAAACAAGGAGAGTGGATGAACATGTAAAATCCGAGAACATTGGTATTTGTAACCAAGGAACAAGAAGAGATTGTATTCAGAAGAGTTTCACTGGCCTTCCCAACCAGCCATCAGGGAAAGAACCTAAACCAGTAACATCTATCATGGCACAGAAGTTTAGTACTTCCAATCAACCGTCAGGGAAAGATGGTAAACCAGTAATACCCAAACCACCACAAAAGTCTGACATTAAGCCAGATGCAGAATGCAGTGCCCCGTATTCACGTGGCCAGCCACCATTACACAAAATAAATTCATCAAAGCAAGAATATGGCAAGCCCCAACCAAACTCTCCGTATGGTATGAGTGGAAAGCAGAAAAATTACACTTGGAAAATTATTGGAGGAGTTGTTCTTCTAGTTAGTGCCATTGCTGTAAGTTCAATATCTTTCTGTCTATATGATAATGATAAACTGTGACATTACATACATACACAAAGAACTATAAGTGTTAACATTTCTTTCTAGGCATATAATGTAGGCTTCTTTATGAAAGAAGATGAGGAAGGGAAACCAGCTGAAAAAAAGAAAATTGTTCGGAAGTCAAGTAAGTGTCAACAGAAGATCTCAATATGCATGATAAATTAAATATGGAATAGTTGTGGAAGGGAATGGGAAATCTTCAAGGGAATTTTTTCAGGTCAGCTTTGTTCATCAGAAGCTTCACAAAGATTGTGAGGGGTCTGAGGTTCTCAAGGCACTGGCTATGAAGATTACTATCTCCAAGGATGTGACACCATGTAGCAGCAGTGAGGCGTGTGCATATGTTCTTGCTGAGCTTATTCTTTGGTCTGAAGATGAAGACAGTACGTACCTCCAGAAGACTGGTAAACTTCTACCAGACTGCATGGAATTACATCCCAGAGAATAGTGCTCTTCATATAGTTTGGTCACCTTTGTCATAAATATATGTTACATGATCTCACCAAGGAAATAACACTCCATAAAATTCCACAATATTGTACTCTTTATGATTCTATAAAACATTTTATTTCTAATTTACTACAGTTATTCTTTTGTAATTTATTAAATATAGAAACTGTATATTTTCCTCTACAGAAAGGATTAGAAAGATAAGTAAATTCCCAGCAGAATCAAAGGACATTCCAAGTAGTGTTCCTTATTTGCTAATTGGAGGTGGCACAGCTTCTTTTGCTGCTTTCCGGGCCATCAAATCTGCTGATCCAACAGCAAAGGTTAGTTGAATGGTTGGTTAGATAGTTGTCACAGAATTATATTTTGCAGTTGTGCTAATTAATATTTCTATCCGCTGTTCAGTCATCTAATGTTGCTTTGAAATTTTTACAAATTTTGAGGCAGTCTGAGAAAGAAATTGAACTGAAGAGGAATCCTAAAGAAAGACTGGTCTATGGGATTAATTCTTGTTACAGTCATGTGGCTGACCCATAAGACTCTGATTGAATCAGAGCAAATCTCTAAAACTATCAAACAAAACAAACTCCGTGGTTTTAGTCCACAAGTGAACTATACTGACCGTGCGGCTGCCACTTGTCGGTGAAGTTAGTGCCAACTTCAGCAGATAGAGGGTGTTGCATGGTCAGCACAACGAATCCCTACAGTCATTAATTTAGGTTTTCTAGACCAGAGCTGCTATTTCCTTGAAATTAAGCACTATGCCACAAAGAAACTTGGGATGTAGATCCAAGTATTCTAGACATCAGCACTAGTTATAGGTGAGTGGTCAGCTTCATGCACTGTTCACTTACTCCCAGTGAAAGAGCCTCCAATATGCATTAGGTATGAAGCTGGATGTGCCCCAGAACCAGCGAGCAAAATGTGGAGAAGAGAAAAATTTGTCTCTACCAAGATTTGAACTCTGACCCCTCAGCTCGTCATCCAGTAGTCAGTCACTATATAGGCCTCACTACAGTTCGTTAAATCAGGCCCAATATATTGAATTGTACTGGGTGAGGAGTTGGTTCATATTGTCAAGTTGCAAAGATGGTGACCTATGGAAATGGAGAGGAGGAGGCCAGTTTGGACCAGTAGGAATAGTGAACAAGAACATGACCATGTTTAGGGCCACAGCATTGTTTTCATCACAGGAGAGGACCCTGAAGATGAAGGAAGCCTGTTCTTCCAGAACTGCAGTATCTACCTACAAGACCACAAGCTGAACTGTCACCACTGTGTAAAGTCACCAGGTTATAACCTGAATGTTCAATATATTATATATGAATGTTCTGTAATTTATTATGTTTAAATTTGATTTTAAATTAATTTGAATTCAAGTTCAAGTATAGAATAATCTTAATATGAAGATAAGTATATAGTATTTTGTTCCAGGTACTTGTTGTTGATAAGGAAGGTTATTATCCATATATGAGACCTCCACTTTCTAAAGAGATATGGTTCAATGACGATGCTGAAACTACGAAAAAACTACATTTTAAACAGTGGAATGGGTCAGAAAGGAGGTAAGCACTGCATTGAACATATGTGAGGAAGTTGTGGGTTCGATCCCAGTTCTGGTCAAGTGGGATTTGTGGTGGTCAAAGTGACGCTGGGGCAGGTTTTCTCTGAGTACTTTGGTTTTCCCTTCAAATCTTTATTCCACCAATTGCTCCACAATCACCTTCATGTATCATCTGGGGCTGGTACAATAGGCCAGAAGTGGCTGCAGTACAAGGGACTTAGTCCCACCCCACTAGCAATAAAAAAAGTTATGCAGTCCAGAAAACTTACTGAGAGCCCAAAGTATGTATGGTGTGCTTGACCAGGTACAGCCAATGTTTCAGTACTATAGTGAAACCCCCTGATTTAGGTTTCTTAGTGAATGTATTCAAAGCAAGTTTTAAAAAATGATGTTTAATACAGAACATTGAATTTGGATTAATGAAAATGAACCTTAGATTTATGGGGAAGATCGATGTTCAGATCAAGATCAAGATTTTTTTGTAAGATTTGAGGTTTTCATGGTGGTGACTGAAGAATGTCGTCTTCTGGGATGTGCTGCCGTGTAGACTTTTTCTTAACCAATGTTTTGGAGGAACATATCACCACCACCTTCAGGGTATAAGAAATCTGTGAGCTTATTGAGTTGTCGAATATGTCGAAGAGTAGCCTCTCCATAGAGGAATATTATGTAAGATTTGAGGTTTTCACAGTGCTGACTATGAAGAATGCTATCTTCTGGGATGTGATGCCATGTAGATATTTTGTTAACTGATGTTTTGGAGGAACATCGGTTAAGGAAATATCTACATGGTGCCACATCCCAGAAGTCGGCATTCTTCAAGATATTTTTTCTTGATTTGATGTCAAGAATCTGAGAGTTGCTTATGCTTAACATAGAAAAAATACATTCTTATGTGTTTGATATACAGTTTATTTTATGAGCCTCAAGATTTCTATGTTGACTGTACCAAATTGAATACAAACCCGAATGGAGGAGTAGCAGTTGCCCGTGGATGGACTGTTAAAAAGCTTGATGTATTTGAGAGGAAAGCCATATTGGAGGATGGGTATGAGATCAGTTACGAGAAGTGCCTTATTGCAACAGGTAAAATATATAATGTTCAGTGGGTGTATTGTAGCATAGTTTGTAAGCATGCTGCAGAATGTAAGATTCAACTAATATTTACACATAACATGTCAATTTGGACACAAGCATGTTTAATTTATTAACCTTTAAACGACTAAAGACACCGTATGTCGTCGCAGATATAAAGGCAGCGGTACGAATGACGCCATGTGGTGTCGCACAGTCCGCGTGTGCGGACGTTATTTTAAAATACATGTTTAAGGTAGAAAATAATGTCCTACTTATATAATTTTTGGCCACCATCTGCATGGAGTGTCTGTCTTCCCACCTGCGTCATCTGCTGGAATGTTGCCTTCGTGTGGAATTCTAAAAAAAATCCGGAAGTGCCGAGTCCGATTTCGCACTTCACGCACTTTCTCCGGACGATTTTTCGTTTCCCACGCGAAAAGAACACACGACACCTCAATTGCGAAGTAGAGGAATTCGGCCAGTGATGTGGTTTGGCCTTCTATAATCGAGATATCTCCGATTAAACGGCAGGGGTTCGACTCCTGGTCGCACAGTCCGCGCGTGCGAACGTTATATAAAATAATATTTTAACGTAGAAAATGATGTTCTACTTATGTAATTTTTGGCCACCATCTGCATGGAGGGTCTGTCTTCCCANACAGTTTATTTTATGAGCCTCAAGATTTCTATGTTGACTGTACAAAATTGAATACTAACCCGAATGGAGGAGTAGCAGTTGCCCGTGGATGGACTGTTAAAAAGCTTGATGTATTTGAGAGGAAAGCCATATTGGAGGATGGGTATGAGATCAGTTACGAGAAGTGCCTTATTGCAACAGGTAAAATATATAATGTTCAGTGGGTGTATTGTAGCATAGTTTGTAAGCATGCTGCAAAATGTAAGATTCAACTAATATTTACACATAACATGTCAATTTGGACACAAGCATGTTTAATTTATTAATATTGTACTCTGTAAACAAATGCATGTTGGGGAAAGAATAAAGAAATGTTTCTACTTGGTACCAAGATTTGTTGATTTTAAGATGAAAGAGCTGTTATTCATTTCGTTGAAAGATAATGTACAGCACCAAACAGACCTGTGCTAACTTACAGCATGAACAAGGCCTGCACCATAGCTCAAGCGGTTAGTCACTGGCTTCCCACTGTGGCGGCCCAGGTTTGATCCTGGGTCTGGTCAAGTGGGATTTGTGGTGGACAAAGTGTCGCTGGGGCAGGTTTTCTCCGAGTACTTCGGTTTCCCCTGCCAATCTTCATTCCACCAATTGCTCCACAATCACCCTCACCTATCATCTGGGGCTGGTACAATAGGCCAGAAGTGGCTGCAGTACAAGGGACTTAGTCCCACCCCCCTAGCAGTGAAAAAAAATTACAGCATGAACATGCTCATTTTTAAATTTAACTGAAATATTATAAGAACAATTCCATCCAGCGTGACTGGTGATGTTTTTCTTATTTCAATTCTTCATGCCCTTACATGTTTCAGTCCTTAGAGACCATCATCAGATGGACATCTATACAGTTTGGAAACCACTATTACAATGGGTGTTCTGAATGTTAAAATATACATACATACAGTGTTGACAATACACAAATGGATACAAAATCCAAAGTTTTCACAACTACAGCGGCTGTCTTGATATATATTTTGAAACTTTTGTTATTTAAGTTAGAATTTATAAACCAAATAAGTTCATCTCCTCTCTCTTATCACCCCTCTTGACGGGGGCCGAACTTGTGCCACCTGCCTTTCTTGAGAAGAAGGTTCTTTGATGTCCTGTGGTTCATGGCACGCTGTGTTGTTTTTACTCACCAGTCACACTGGACGGAATTGTTTTATCTCTTATAATACTGTTAGTGTGACGGACCAGAATGAAACAAATCAAATTAAGTGAAATATCAAGGAAAAGATCCCTGTATGTTAGTAAATTGCTTGATTAGGAATATCTGTTCCAGGTTCTAGTCCCAAAAACCTACCTTTGTTTGAAGAAGCATCGCAGGATGTTAAAGACAAAGTAACATTGTTCAGAGGCATTTCTGATTTTGAGGAATTAGAAGATATAATTAAAAGTGGACCAAAATCTGTCGCAGTTATTGGTGGTGGATTTCTTGGCAGTGAATTGGCTTGTGCATTAGCACGACAATGTGAGTAAATATATATTTTATTCGTGGCTTTTTAAAGAACTTGGCCCAGTACCACTGTGCCATGAAGAAAAACCATTTTGATAATACTAAAACTTGCATTCGTTTATAGGGAGGAACTGACTGATTTTAATCATAATTATATGTTTGAGTAATTGAAAGTGTTCTGGCTCATATTCCTTGCTTACTACTTATCATTCTGAAGTCTCAAAAGTTCATTGCCACAACAGTAAAATCCCATGAGTTTACTGGAGCCTGAGTTATTCACCAGTGGGGCTTACATTCATAAGATTCATTCTAGTATTATTTACTTGACTATGCATTTGTTTTTGAAGTGGTCCCTTTCTGCAAGGATTCTGTTCCATAATTTTGTAGACAGTATTTCCCTGAATTTTGCTGTGATCTTAACCAAACGAAACTTCACTGAGAAGAATACCATTTTCTGGGATATGGCGCCATTTAAATATTGTATAAACCGATGTTTCGGAGGAACGTATGGCCTCCATCTTCAGGGTAGAAGAAAAANGAAGGAAAAAATCTGCTAGTGAGGAACCAGCATGAGCAGATTTTTTTCTTTTTTTACTCTGAAGATGGAGGCGATACATTCCTCCAAAACATCGGTTTATACAATATCTACACCGCCACATCCCAGAAGACAGCATTGTTCATAGTCACTGCCATGAAAACTTCAAATAAAATAAAACTTCACTGGTTTGTTTTTAATTTATTCAAAATTAACATTTTATGAGTGTACAAATTTTAGGAGGAAGCAGCCCTATGACATTTACCCTGCTGTCACATTAGTATGGATTTCAGTTCCAATTTACACATTCTTGTCCAGGCACTTGAAAATTTCTAATAATTATGTATATGGATATATTGCATCAGCTGTGGTTGCAGAAATCCATTCCATGCAACTTCCGAGACTTTTCAGGCATCTGAGAAGAAAATGAAAATTACTTTTGAGGTTGGGTAGCCCATTGCTGGCCTTTGGTAGCATGTGCTGAACCTATGGATTTTGTTACCAGACTGGTATGTGATTTAGTCACCTGCTGATGTTTTCAAGTTGGTAGACATTAATGCCATTGGTAGGTAGGTTTGAGAAGTTCTGAATAGGACAGTGTAGGTAATTGTGGGAAATTATGCTTCTGAATGTATGAGTCAGTTTCATGGGTGAGATCAGAATTTTTTTTTTCAAGGAGAGCAGCCAGAAACTTTGCTTATGAACTTATGTTGAAGCCATTTAAGAATATTTTTACAGATCACCTTGCAGTTTCTGTGTACTGAAATGTGTATGGTACCACAAACTTTTCAAAATCTTCCCTTAATGTCCATGTATTTATCATCCGTCAATATTGCAACACTTCTTTATTCATGACATATTCTTAATTTTAGTGTAACATTTTACACTTTGACACAACATGTTTCAGCCCAAAACGGCCATCTTCAGGTGTCTTGATATGTTACAAATATTTTATTAAATTATGTTAAAACTGCTACACTGTGTTAGTCCATGTTAACACTTCGCGGACTGGTGATTTAAATATTTAAATCACCCTGGGGACCGGCATTTTTAAACCTACTACCCTAACTTGTGCACTGTTCACTTTAAAAATTAATATAAAATCTCCTAATTAATTTTATGAACTAAAATTTTTGGAGAACACTTACCAATGCTCCTAGAAGTGCTTGAGAGTGTGATATTTCTGGAAACATTCCCCTTTGTGAAGTGGCATTACACAGAACCTGCTCATGTAGACAGTCATACTCCTTTTGTTGTGTACTGTGCAAACACGACATCGCCTAGAAGGCTGCTTCCCCTTGCCATGTTCACTCTTCACAGTTTTCATGAGGGTATGTTTCTGCATATCACCCAAGAGTCGCCCAGGGGGGGTCCACATGAAGCCTGCGTGGGGTGGGAGTTAATGGACCCTGTTGCACTAAGTCTGTGTCTGCCGCTCGTTCTGCCGCCACTGTCTGGTCTGTAGCCCAGGCTTTTGCCACATTCATTAGAAATGCCCTGTACTTCAATTTTGAATGACAGTTTAGATTTTTGTAAACCAAAAATGAATTGAAAATGGCACAATTTATAAGCCACAAGGCAACTTTCTTTCTCCACTTTACTGTTTTCCGAGGAAGAGAATAATAGGCCAAATACTGATCG